CGACCGGAGTGATACCACGGCCTCACAGAAAACCGACGTGAAGCAACGCTTGCGTTGTGTTTCGTCGTGTGAGTGAGGTTACCGGAGGCCCAATTATCCTTCCCTTCCCCAATCTCCCCAATTCCTGAATCCCCAACGATCCTCAAACTCCTAATCTCCAAAAGGCCGGTAACGCACTTGTAACGCCTCTGGTGTTCCAGGTGTCAATGGGCGACGCCGATTGCTTACCATCAGGTGATCCGTCTGCTCGTTTACCGGCTTATGCCAAAAAAAAAAAAAAAAAAACAAATTGCGGAGTAATCGGTGAAAAAAAAAAACGAAAATAATTAACAGCAAAAAGCAATCAGTCTGGAATTGTGCCCGGTATATGGCAATAGGCTCACCTCCTATTACATGGAATTCAAAACATTAATAGTGAAAAGTGGGTGTTACATTGTACAGTAGCATAAAGTGCCGTGATGTGCACGTCTGCCTACCCTACGGGGAGGAAAGTCCCATGCAATAGGGGGTGAGCTTATTGCAAACACTGTGCTACTACTGACAATTTTTTAAAAACACAGTAATACTTAGTCCGACCAGGGAATCGAACCCGAGACCCCTTGCAGTCGCACGTACGACCATTCAGACAACGAGGCAGTCGGTAAATATTAATATCAATACGTATTTAAAGTAAAATTACCTTTGGGCATTCCACAAGGCGGCTTCGTTCTAGAATTATCCAGAAAGTCCAAATCATACCTCCTTGCTGGAGGGTAGGTGAGGGCAACATGTCCATACACACTCACACAGTACACTAATAACACTAACACAACACTCATTTGTGACGCCATCTTGCTTTTACTTCACTCACTCACTCACTTGAATCCCGGCTTCATCACTTTTGAATTTCGAACGTTCTAATCATCGTTGAATATTTTATTTTTATAATCGCGCCATTTCTTCGTTCAGTTGCGAAGGTGATTTGTTGTTTTTCTGTAACAAATAAAAAAAATGCATTTAATTATTTAAATAGCGGGTAGATTTATCTACACATAACACGAGAATAGATAAGTAGATAAAAAAGTTATAAATATTTATTTCATACATTGTCGTGTCAATCGCTTAAATCGTCATTAAAACTTTTTGGTACTTATATTATTGGCGGAACCATAAAAAATGGCGAGAAACATGTAGTTACGACTTAACCGCTTAATTCTAAAAACTTCCTAGTCAAGGTTAATGCCTAAGAATAAGTTATACCTAAATACATAGCATCATCATTTCCCAAATCCATTTGTCCTAGTATTTACGACTTTAGGTACAAGCCTACTAGGTTACAACTCCCCCCACGCTGGCAACATTGAGAACATAATGGCCGCTCACTCATACGTCAAACAATACGTAGGATGTATGTCTCAAGGAAACAGCCACATACTGCCATTGTGTACAGACAGTGCAGGCTGGTAGCCAACCGTGACTGCCTTCTAAATGCAGACTCGCTAATTTATTTCCAACACTGATTTGGTTGGATAAATTGTAACACTTATTCGGTTACGCGGCAATATCGAGATACATTTTGCCTGTAACTTAATGTACAGAACTTGGCTAGGCAAATTCAGTTCTATTCCAAATCCAATTAATATAACATATTA